AGGGTTTAGGGTTTGAGGGTTTAGGGCTTTAGGTTTTACGGTATATAGTGCTGAAGGTTTCAGGATTTTAGGGTTTAGGGTTTAGCATCATTGCTTTTTTTGCGGGCTGGCAGACAAAAAACAAGTAATTGAGAAAACGCTTTCCAAGTCTGAGCGCATCTTGTGGAATTCGGCGGCTCGTTTACATGCATGGGTTGAGAAACTTTAAAAGGCTTTCCTTGGTGATAGCCATATTTCCTTCAAATCTGTCGAAAACTGACTTCCTCACAGGCAAATTGTGGGTAAAGGGTTTGCAGCGCACTCTTTCAACACGAAACCCCCCAGATCCCTGAAACCAACATCACTGAGGCGAAAACATCCGTATGCTCTCAACCATAAACCGTGAACCCCAATCCTTGTAATTCGCTAAAGAAAGGATGAGCCCGGCGTTTCGAAAAAGACAGGGTGCCCCACCAATACTTGGAGGTTCATGGTAAATACAAGCCAATTAAGAAAGTCATATACAGGGTCCCTCTAGCGGGGTTGAGGAAGATGTAGGGTTCAGGGCGTCGGTTTGGGGTTCAGGGCAAATATAACCCGTTTGTATTTGATACTTTTAACTATTAGCAATGTATGGCCATATTCGGAGACGCAGCGGGCCCAAGTTTGGGTTGTAAGCACAGTTCTATTTGAGTTATATTTAATTGCCTTGAACCTCCCAAGTGCTCTTTTTTGTCAGGAAAGGATGCCGGCAAAGAGACCCCTAGGCTTTACCAACCCAATTTGCAAACCCCCTCCCACACACACACTTCGAGCCCTAACCCGAAATAAAACGAGAACCCTTTAAAGTTTGGGGGTCCCCCGAAGGCTACACAAACCCCTTAACCTCTAAACCTTTAAACCCCTAACACCAAACTTAGGCAAGAGGAGCGACTGATGAGCATGGCCGAGCATGCGCGGAGCATCAACTGCTTGAGGAAGGACGACCTTCGAATGCTTTCCAGAAGCCTGACTTTAGGGAAGGTTTATTGCAGGGGCCTAAAGAATTAGCAATATTATTAATATGGTTCCATTTCCTTGTATAGTTATAGTATATGGTACCTCCAATGGACCTCAAAATGGTGTTGGTAATTATTTAGGCCCCTGTAGTAGCGTTTTATGCAAAGGGGGAAGCCGAGAAGCGTGACTGTAACAAGGGTAGTAGTTAGTGTTTTGATGTATTCTTGGAAATGGACTGAGGGCATAGGATCAAGGAACACTTTTAGATTTAGGATTTAGGGATTGGAGTCTAGGACTCGGGCTAATAGCGCTTAGGGCTCCAGATAGTAGAAGCTGATTCATGAGTATAGTTTCTTGCAGGAAAACTGGGATGGCATGGTTTAGGGTTGTTTAGGGGTTTCAAGAGCAAGCCGCCTAATTCGGCCTCCGAATGTCTCGCCTCAACACAAAGGCTGTCTGCGAACCCGAGACCCCAATGCCTACTTGGAGGGTCTGGGGGACTCAGTGGGTTTAAGGTTAGTTGACGATCTTCGTCTTGAGGCGAGACCCCCAAAGTTGGAGGGTCAGGGGGTACTTCTTGACTACATCGGGCATATTCACACCATCGCTTGGAGCTACTAAGTAGCATAATAAATAAAACCCTATAAACCAGAATAGTAACCTTAGTTAACACCATTATTGACCTATTTTCTATGTCCTCTGGACCCTTCAAGTAACCCCACACTTTCACAACAGTTCTGCTGTCCAGAAGCTAATACCGGCCCTAGGTTTCTGGAGCCAGGATTTAGGGTTAAGGATTGGGGGTTGAGGGCTTGGGGTTAAGGATTTGGGTTGAGTGCTTGGGGTTAAACATTTGGGGCTGAGCAGATTTAAGGGTTAAAGATTTCGGGTTGAGGGTTTAGGGTTAAGGATTAGGTTTTCAGATCTTGAAGTTTTTCCGTCTTGGTTTATAGTCAGAAAATCTTATTTTGGACTCTCCAGGCTGTGGCATTTCCTTCCCAACCTAGTATCACTTTGCTTCGAATTCCTGGGAGGCACCGCAGAAACCCATATAAACCCCGCAGACGCTGGCACTTCGTGTTTGTTTCTCCAAGCCGACATGTGGTCCACAACTAACCACAAATCCTAATCCCCAAGCCCTAAACCCCAAACCCCAAATGCTAAACCCTAAATCCCAACCCCCAAACCAAACCCTAACTCCCAAACCCTAAACCCTAAAACCCAAACCCTAAACCCTAAGCCCAGGAGAAGATCTGAAAGTTCTAGAGCCAGAATTGGTTGCTGCGTCTGGCCTCCTCTCCCCTGGGACGCCTGGCTCTTCGGGCTTTGGGTCCCTAGGGTTTAATAACGTGCTTCTACAGCGTCTCCCGGAACATACCTGTATGATACCTTTTTACGACGCAGCTGCTTCAGTTGTCGTTCCGACAGCACCGCGCCACCACCCTCGTGTTGTGGATAACCTTCCCAATGGATAATACTGCGAGATCAGGAACACGTTTTCGGGAATCTCAAGTAATCCATGAATGTGATTCTTTTCACCTGGGGTTTCATTCCCTATCTCAAGCTCACCAGGGCTGGACTCCCGTAACCTCACGTTCAAACGACCAGAACAGGTGAGGAACTCCTTGACGATGAAGACAGAATTAGTATCTCGCGGATCTCGCAGCTCATGCAAGGTGGGGTTGTGAAAGTAGGACTCGCTGCCACCTTTTCGCTGATCCTAAACAACAGCTCCCGGTGAGATTGTGTGCCTCTCAGCGCTTTGTAGCTCATGCTTCGCATGATCACCGTGCGGAATCCATTCCGAACTCATGTCGACCATGTCTCGCAGAAATTTGCAGGGAATAGCCGATTGTTATGTTGTACTCCGTATGATGCATATGTGATGGACGTCGCTTGATCGCGCTCAGACCAGTGATGCGGCTGACATGCTGCGCTCAGTGCCATCTCACATCCGGAGAATCGCTACCGTACACTCGTTGGTGATTCGCAGGGAATATAGCCATGCATTCTTGTTACAATTCCGACATATGCCTTTGTCCTCTTCATGATGTGGTGTTCCTGCATTCCTTTTTCAGTTGCCAACAAGACTTGCATGTTTTGTGAGTATGTTTTGCAAGGTTTAGAACATGTAGGGGAGAGAATACACATGTTCGAATGTGGCCCTCCGAAATGCAATTTTCACAGCTTTGGCCAGGGCCTTCGTCTAGCCGTATTTTTTACGAGGGGTAGCACACACACATGTACATATACATAACATAGATGTATATATGGGTGGTTGTCAAGATTTTGGTCCCTTTTGGGGTACCCTCAATACTAGGTGCCGTATTATAATAAGGATCCAAAAAGGGACCATAAGTTTGACAACCGCCCATATAAATCCCATTATCCCTATATAACCCC